TAGATAAAATATACTTAAAATTGAGTTCAATTTAGATCAGTGGCTCTAAATTTTAATAAATCTGTAGATTAGATAAAAGTATTTTCTGTAATTTTGATGTGAAATAAGTTCTTAATTTTCATCATAAATAGTCGGAGTTTTATTGCAATTTTGTATAATTCAGTGCTAATTAAGTCTAAAAACTAATAAAATCTTATTACAAAATTAGTGAAATTCTTTATCATTGGTATGAGATTTCACAGACATTGCACTCATAAGTTATATTATAAAATATTTGACTTTTAAAGCAAAGAGTTTATGTGAAGTTAATGGAAAGTGTGTTTATATTGACTTTACGATAGGGAGCGGACAGATCCAGTTGTGGCAGTTCCTGTTGGAACTCCTATCGGACAGCATTAATACCAATTGCATCACATGGGAGGGCACTAATGGCGAGTTTAAGCTAACTGATCCTGGTATGTATGGCGTGTATAGTGCGAGATGTGATAATATTGAATGGTATGCCTGTAGATGAAGTGGCGCGGAGATGGGGTGAGCGTAAGAGTAAGCCTAATATGAATTACGACAAACTGAGTCGTGCGCTCCGGTACTACTACGACAAGAACATTATGACCAAGGTTCACGGCAAACGGTACGCCTATAAGTTTGACTTTCACGGCTTGGCTCAGGCGTGTCAGCCGAATGCGGGCGACTCGACGACAGCGGCCTATAAGTATCACTCGGAGCTGTTGCTAACTCCCGGTGCATATCACGCACACGCGTCCAAATTGAACTCATATCTCGTGAGCGGCGCTCGTAATGTGCAGCCAATCAGCGCATCCACACCACCGACCCATTCACCGCTCTTCCCATCAGCAACTGGTTATTGGACAGCATCTCCATCTGCCTGTAATCCTCTTTGCTCTAATGGATTAACTTCTCCCTCACTCACCACATCCATATCTCATCATCACTCCCATCATCACCGGACTAATGGATTAACCACTTATTACGCGTAGACATGCATTGTCTTATGTATTGTATTATATAAATATTATAAGTTATATAATCTCAATATATAAAGTAAAATTATGTTAAATGTATCCTAAAGTTACATATCTTTTTTGCATTTGACTTTATAATTTATATAACTTTCAAATGAATTCACATTAATAATACTCGGCTTTATAATGTTATATATTTTTTTGGTCAATAAGTGCAAACATAAATGTAATATTAAAATAATAGTAACGCAGAAATGCTGACAATTTTTAATTAATCATCATTTTGTTGAATTTGACACCAAAATTGTTTTCTCGTTTGTTCAAACAAAACAAAAATTTAAATGAATCTAAACAACAAAAATATAAAATGCATTTGAAATTCATTTGTTAAGTTAAGCATAAACTCGATTTTTAATTCATGAATAATTAAAATCACTGTACGTAACGTTTATTATAATTATTTATATTAAAAACTTTTATTTCGACCAAATGCTAAATTAATTATCTTATTCGCCAAAATAATAATTTTAGAAATTATTAGAAAATGGTTTTAAAAAACAAATTTGCATTTTATTAATAGAGATAACATAAGCTTTAATTGGGGAACGCGTGCTCTACTAATTCAGTTGTCCTTCAAATTTGCAAAAGTATTTTAAATACTTAAATATTAAAAGTGAATATATTTTCATTTATATAATGTAAAATTAATTTTAATATAATTTATATTGTGATTTCAATATTGTTTACAAACTATTGAAATAAAGCGTTAATAGAGTTAATAGAGTGGAACCGTTGGCTATTTCTCCAACATCTGAAGGATTTGTTTTAATTCAATCGATTAGATTTTATTATAGTATTATAATTTTATTTTTATAAATACTTTAATGATTTAATTCAATGTAAAAATTTTAGACAATGAATGTTTGACCGAAGGATACTATTAAACATACAGTAATTACTTATGTATTTCTTATCCCTTTCATAAATCGCATCGAATATTACATATATTTATGAAATATGTTTTAAGAAATACTTTCTTATAAATCAATTTTCTATCAAATTCAGAGTCATGTTTGAGTTTTATTGACTCTTGACTTGAGTTTTTTATTTTCAAACCAAAGTTATTTAGTGAGAGATTGCGGGACACAACCGGTTTGACGTTTATTATTCCAATAATGCACTTAAGCTATGAAATTGTAAGAATATGAATGAAAATCTCACAAAAAGCTGCAATTTTTATCATTTGAATTCATGCAAAATATATGCCTCTATTCGGGTCACAAATAATTGATTCGCTCTTCGAAGGAAAGTCATGTCGTTTTATGACTTCTTGTGGCTTATTGTGAAGTTAATTGAACTCGAGCTTTAGAATAAAGACCTCGCTAATTATATGATGAATTAGTATTAAGATGAAAAAGTGATTGATTTCTATACGAATTAATTATGAATTAATGACATAAAGAGAAAAACACTCAAACGATGCCTTTGTTGTCACAAAGTTTTAGTTTAGAAAATATTTTAATTGACATTTAATTATGACCTGAGAATAACATTCACTGTATTTTCTGGAAAATATAAAAGAAAATGAAAATTTTATATTATTATTGTGTTTTGACAAAGAATTATACTTTAGAGAAGTCACCGAAAGATGTCTTTTGATTGTAAACTCTTTTGTTATTGAAGGTCACAATTTTGATTGTTTGCCAAACCTCCCATTCCATACCTGCCCTTAAATAACATATTACAGATATATTTTAAATATATTATATCATATACCAGTGTACCAGTGCTTCATCAGCCTTTTTTATTTAATAAAAGTTCAAATTAAGAGAAATAAGTATACGTATACTGTAGTGTAAAATTCATTACCTATCATACTTAAAAATTTATCAACAAATTAGAAAAATATATTAGATTAAAAAGTAAGATAAATATAAATCTTTTTAAATAAGAAATTCTGATTTAAATGGAATATTTTATTAATATTATGTTATATTATTTAAAATTAGACTAACATTGACAATGCACTGAATTATATTTTACACATAAAACAAAATATAACATTAAATTGTTCTAAATTAAAACAATTGAATATTTCATTAAAGAGAACTTAAAAATAGTGCCATAAAATCAACCATTTGTTTGATAATTAATACTCTCTTTTGTGATATTTTAACACATTTTATACACACAATAAATATTTATTTTAATGGACAATATTGTGCAACAAATAGTTGAGAGAGAGAGAGAGAGAGAGAGAGAGAGAGAGAGGTCTTTGGCATGAGTGCAGCACATAATCATAAGTTAGTTTTGAATTCTGTGTTAAGTTTTGGTATTTTGATGATTCAAAAGCTGATCAGAAGATCTGTGAAGCGTACAGACCATAGACTGCAATGCAATCACTTTTTTGATAAACTATTTGATTATTTAACTCCAGAGTCACTGCAAACACAGCATATTTATCTAATATGTACTGTAATTGCATTTCTATTAAATTCATACAAGCTTATACTATTTTATAGACCTTTCG